ATCATAATGTTGGAGAAAGAGCCAGGAGGCATGATCGTTGAGTGAGATAGAAAACGAGTCAGGGCGGTAACTGTGGCATTAAAGTCGGTGCTTCTTGACTTTAATACTTTAGTACTTTTCCAGTCCTCAAGAGTTCATCGTCAGCACCCTCATTTGTGGTCCGCTGCTGTGGTGGCCATATTTTAACATATTGAACCTGTGTTTTATTTGTCTACCCGAGCCTTTCTCACTTGACTTTCAGCTGGGAGTCATTCACCACATAAAATTACCAGACCTAATAAGATGATTAGATGAAAACTTCAGAATAATGACCACGCTCTATGGAATGAGCCACGAAGGGGGTATACGCGTGGTCTACATTATGGCAAAACCTTGGTAATTGCCTGTCTGGTTTAATTTTCAGCTGAGTAAAGGGAAAAAATTCTGAGGTTATGCTGTTTTTTCCTCTATTATTATTATTACAAATATCTGTACTGGTCAGGGAACCACATAAATTCATCACTCCGGTTTTAAAGTTTGCAGAATTTCTGGAATTGGAAGCTAACCCAAGGTAAAACAGCTCCCTAAGCTCAGATTTCCATAGTTGTCTTACATTTTCATTAAAAAATGAATTTCATGTAGCCTTTAGATAGTAGGAAATAAGAGTTCAGTATGAAATTATGGGGTAGCTAAACCCCAGGGTAGGGAGGGGTGTGACCCAGAGTGAGAACACACTGTCCTCGGTCAATCCTGTCAGCACATGGCTTCACACATAAAAGGGCCTTCTTGCATCTCGGAGATTTTATGGGGTACCTACCCTAAAGAGACGGTAGATTTGGGGCTAGGGGATGGACAACGCCTGTCACAATTGCTCAGCTCCCCATTTTTCTACCCGTTATAGTCACCAGTCTCCAACTTAAAGTCTGTAGAGCATTTCTCACAATGAGTCAATCTTCAAATGGGTATGCCAGATACTGGAGAGTCCAGGCTAGTCACCACAGGAAGACCATCACCATGGTATTGAGACTCTGGTGGAGATGTTTGCAAGAGATGCCATAACAAAATGTCCCAGGCTGAGCTGCTTGCAGGACATCAATGTACCACATTGTTTCTGTTCTACAGTTCTGGAAACTAAAAGTCCAAAAAGCAAAGGTGTTTGTAGGACTGCTTCCTGTTGAGGACTGTGAGCATGGATCTGCTCTGTCTGTCTCTCCTGGCCTTTGGTGGCCTGGGTCTTTAGACAGAATTCTCTCCATGTCTTCACCTCTTCTCCATGTAGGTGTCTAAATTTCCTCTCTGTGTAGAGATACTAGTCATGTTGGACTAAAGCCCACTCTAATGTCTTCGCCTTACCTTGACCATCAGCAAACACCTTATTTCTAAATAAGGCATGCTCACATTACTAAGTGTTAGAACTTCAATATGAGGAACACAACTCAGCCCATATCAGAGTTGTGCTCAAATGGAGAACTATTCCAGAGTCTCTGAATTTCCATAGTGAACTTCAACTCCTTTTATTTCAAACCACCCTGTTGCTTCACTGCCTAGGTTTCAACTTCCACAAGCATTTGGGGGTCCCATTTTGCCACAAATGTCTACGGTAAATGCTAAGTTCATGCCCAGCCCAACACTTCCTTTCTGTGGTCCTTTCCTGCATTAAGACTTTTGGTTGTGTCTTCTAAGTTCTGTGCCGAAGGTTCAAACACACATTTCGTTCAGTGCATATGTTTCTATACTTACTTCTGTAGACTCTCTTCCTGGAGCTCAGCATGCATTCTTGCCTTCAAAGAGAACCTCAACGTCTACTGAGGAAGAACAAGACGCAAAAGACAGGCATGAAGGCTGTGGCGGGAGCAGAGACAGGTATATTGGGGATGTGAAGACTCAGGTCCAAACTCAGGCTGGAGTTAAGAAGGTCCCCTAGAAGAAGGTCCAGGTAGGAGAGGATAAACCTCGGAGCTGAGTCTGAATGTACAAGATTTTTCTAGACGTGATATCAACATGGAGAAGGTAGGCAGGGGAAGAGGAGATAGTGCTAGACAGAAGATAGTGTGTATAAACGAGTATTGATTACATATTGGAAGTTGTAGAAGAATAAAAGAGGGATGAGATTCTGCATTTTCAAGAATTGAGCATGAATGTTTTTCTTTTTAACAGGTACAGTCAGGTCAGGCTACTATGACCAAACGGCACAGGTTGGATAGCTTGAACAACAGACGCCTGTTTCTCACGCTTTCAGAGACTGGGAAATCTAAGATCAAAGTAACAGTAGATTTGGATCCTGATGAGGGCTCACTTCCTGGTTTGGAGATGATTGTTTTCTGTGATCTCCCACTGCAGGGCGAACAAGAACCCCAGTCTCTTCCTCTTCTTATGGGGCGCTGGTCCTACCATGGGGCTCCTCTGTCATCATCTAAACCCAGTCCCTCCAAAGACTCCACATCCAAATATCATTACATTGATGATCAGGGGTTCCATATGTAAATGGGACAGGGCCAGGGGAGAGGGTGGACACAGACATGTAGTCATAGCACAGCCATCATTGCTATTCACCGTGACCACTCTGAGAAATGAGTGGACAGTGCAGAACTGTTGGACAAGCTCCTCCCCCAGATGGGCTGGATCACTACACTCCACAAGACCACTCCTACTGAAATCCACCAACAGTTAACAGGGCTCTAATAATGGTTCATCAGACCAGAGAGAGCATTCTGTCTAAGAGTCTTTTATTATTTGGTCATGCAGACAGGCACTTCTCCAGAAACCTACCTGCGTGCCCAGCCTAGGGCTAACAGAAGAGTGTCACCGGGTGTTAACAGTCACAGAGAGACTTTGGAGAGTCATTCATTTTCTTCTTAGCTGTCATATAACTCAAGGGCTATTATTTAACTCTCTGATGACTTGATGTCAGAACGTCCCTCCCCTCATCCTACAATCAGCGGGAAAGCTACCCTTCTGTGTGTTGCCGCTTTTACTTCAAATTCTTAGCTCCAACCTCTTAAAAATCTATACCTGTTCTTCAAGTCAGTGTAAAGGTTCAGGGACTAAAAATTTTGAGCCTGGCATGAAATGAACCAACATTTTGGGGAGATACAGACCTCATGGTTGCATAACCATCAGTATATTTTTATAAACAAAACCTCCAAGTTCCTTTAAAATAGTACGGAGATCAGAAGGAAGCAGCTGATATCATTTGTTTTTCATTTAAGTCATCAAGAACTTCAGCCATGTCTTAAACCATAGGAAAATACCAGTTATATGTGTCATTTGTCATCTTTCAGTGTAAACCATGTTGGTGAGAGGGAGGAGTCTGGTTACAGAAAGAAAAAGACACAGTGTACAAGTAAGAATCTAAGTACCAAAGAACGAGGTTACTAATGAAGCGATGTGGTTAACCAGAAGTTGGCTTTGAGGATAGAGATTCCAGACCCTGAAGCAATGGTGTTCCGTTTTTCTCCAAGACTGTCTGTGGTGTTTTCAACTCCTTGCCTGGTGGTTTGTGGGCTGAGCTCACTGCTGGTCCAGTGCTAGGCATCATCAGGACCTAAACACACTATGCACTTGGGACTCAGCTCACATCCCATCAGAGGGGAAAGAGAGCTGGGATTTTGCAGATCAGCCTCTGGAATTCAGCACTGTCTCTAAACAGGAAGCAAAGATGTTTACAATTGCTCTCCAGTTTGGGAGCTGGGGTGTTTCCCTGAGATATGTTGGATAAAACCGGATTCTAAATTTGATGGTGAAAACAATCACTTGATATTTATAATAAGAACTAAATGTTTTCTTCTTCTTTCCACAAACAGCCTTAGTTATTTAGAGGGGTCATTTATGGTTTGGATCCAAACTCAGCATGAAAAAAATAAGGCATGCATTCATTAGTCCACCAGACCAGAAAATTCTACTGAATACTTACTCTCTTCTTGAGTTTACAAAGAACTGGTAGGCCTCACCCTAGCTTATGAAGAAACTATAACCAAGCCACAGGACAGAAAGGGTATTCATGCTGTTTCCAGCTTCACTGTATCTCCCACACCTAACACAGTGTTTATTTAGTAAATTCTAGGTACTCAACACATATTTGTCAAATACTTGAATGAGATCAGCATCTCCCAAGGACAGCAAGTGCATTCCAGCTGAGAAGCGAGAGAGAACAGCTGCGTAAAGGGACTCAAGTTTAGCAATGTTCTCAGGGAGGGGTAGGATTCCACACAACTGATGGGGGCAAGGGAACTGGGTAAAGTCTTCGAGTAAGGAACAATGTTGAACCTGGAGGCAGAGACCCAGAGCATTTTCAGAAGGCAGAATGGTTGGCGTGCAAGCATCTGTGAGCTTAGAGAATGGCTGAGGTGGGTAGATCAGGGTCAGTTGGTCAGGAGGGAAGAGATGTGACCAGAGATGAATGCACAGAACACTGGGAGGCCTCATCTCCTCTGGGCCTGGCACAGTGATTCTGTGCCCCTCCCTGCCTTAACTTTAACCTTAAGAAATAAGAGCAACATACCAAAAAAAAAAAAAAAACCCACCTGATTTCCTTTGTCATATTCCTGTAATCCAAAATTTAACCTAAAAAAAAAAAAAAAAAAAACAAAAAAAAAAAAAAAAACCCACCTGATTTCCTTTGTACTTTTCCAAGTGAGTCATAGGACTGTGATAGTCACAGCTAATTTTAATGTAAAGATATGAATCAGAAGAATAATTCTCATAAATTTCAAGCGGTTTCTCTTAATAAAAAATACAGAGAGCGGAGGGGAGGGAGAGAACCGAGGACTGACAACTGACAAATTTGGGAGCACCAAATGAAGAGAAGTCTTTCTCTAAAACACTCCCTTACCAACTAAACCAACACAAACAGACATTCTTACTGAAGTGACCCTATCCAAATTGAACTTCTACTGTGGAGGAGGACTTTGAAGTTAAACATCATATTCCCAAGTCCAGATGACCTTTGTCACAGGCCATTATCAGTGTTTGAGGCCTATCATTCTTCTCAGAATGATTCTTCCTCCTCCAGGGTATCTACAGCCCCTGTTCCCCCAAGGAGAGAGCATGGAAGCTTCTAAATCTCATTGTGTTGCTGGTGCCTGCCTTCCCATGATGCCCTCAGGTACATATCAAATTAGTAAGCTTTTCTCCTGTGTCTACTGCCAGTTAATTTCTAGGTCTCAAATATCAATTCTCCCTGGGGAAAAGAGAGAGTCCTTTGGTTCCTGTATGTAAAAGGTAACAGTGGCCTAGACTCTACTATTTCTCTGAGCAGGCTGTGTACACTGAGCTGAGTCTTCTCTTTCCACCTCTATGGAACTAAGTGGTCATCAGCACACTTCCACAGTCTGAAAGATAGTTTTTAAAATGTCAGGGAAAAAAATAGGTCAGAAAAAATGGTAAAAGGGAAAATCAAAACTCGTAAGATTAGATTTCTCTGTAAGGTTGTTTCAGGAAGTAATTTATACTACAGACAGAAGTGATAACGTCTCTGTAATTAGGGTTCATGCTCATGTTGCAATAATAGTCTTCATCTTTATTGTGGAGTGAATGGCCGTTTCCACCCCTCACTATGCTATTAGTTGTTCTATTAGTTACTTTCCTAGTGGCTATGACAAGACACCTGACAAGAAGCAAGTTAAGGAAGAAAGGGTTTGTTTTGGCTCACGGTTCCAGGGAATACACTCCATCTTGGTGAGGGAAATCATGGCAGGAAGAACTGGAGGCTGCTGGTCCCATTCAATCTACAGTTGGGAAGCAGAGAGAGATAAATATCCACCTGTGTGCTCAGCTTGCTTTCTCCTTTTTATTCCAGGACCCCAAGCCATGGAATGGTGCTGCCTACATTTAAGGTGGGCCTTCTCTGTCTAGAAACTCCCTCACAGACACGCCAGAGGCTTGTCTCCTGGTTGATTTTAGATCCTGTTAAGTTGACAGTCGGTGCCAACCAGTGCAAGTGCGCATCCCTGTGACTAGTTCTTCATCAAGTTCTCTTACTCAGGGCGAGCTGGGACCTCTCAGAGGATGGGAATGGATTCACTTATACAGAACATTACTTGACACAGAACAAGAGTTCAAGGAGCTATTTCCCAAATAGGACAAGAGAGGGACTTTGAAATGCAGTTTCCTGGGGAGGGAGGAGGGTGACCCCATGAGCTGCAGAAGAGAAGATAGACTTGCTCAGTATCTCTCAGACAACTGTGAGAACAAATGTGTGCACACAAACACTCCCCCCACACACACCACCTTCCAAAAATTAAGTATCATCTTTTGACATTACATGCTGTATTTCAACATTAAGGAATCAGCATATTTTCTTAATATATCCTAATGTATGCCATAGTGACATAATTCTCTTCCATAACATTGATCCTTTTTGCATTAGTGAACTCTTTCTATACCACCTAGTAACACTAGTTACTGTGTGGTAGGCTACAGGCCATCCTAGGCTCCTAGACTCCTGGTAAAGAAACTTGAAGTCAGTCAGGACCATTGGTCAGAGAGGACCACACAAAGCCAGAGGCTGTTTTCAGTGTGTTGTGCATGTCGTTTCCCTGAGGAAGAACCATAGAGAATTTCTGTGCATTAGAGGAAGAAGTCAGGATTTATGAGCTTCCTGTGTGATAGCCCCCCACATTCCTCATTTTGCTAGAGATGAGAGCAGTGGGCAGAGTGGTGTGGAGGGCACGGACTTACTCTGCTTTTCCATGTACAATGACAAACCTCCAATTATAACAACAGGATAGCAGACACATGTCACAGAGGTTAGAGAAAGCAGAATGCAGGCCATTACTAAATGCTTTGGAAAGAATTCTCCAAAACCCAGGACTGGACCCAGAAGACTGAGCAAAATTGGGGTGTGGGGAATGAGGACATTCTTAGCATTCCTGCGTAAAACAGCAGCAAAGGCCAGGCTGGGAAGTCAGTGGGGGTGTCAGGAGACCAGAAGTCCCAAGGGGAGAAGTCAGGACACAGGAGCAGTTCAAAGGCATCGTGGGTACACATGCTGTACCTGTGTGTAGAAGTGGGTACAGACATACACACACACACACACACACACCTGTTTGAACAACCTTTATTTGCACATACTGTCTCTGAAATGGTTTTAGCCTGTTTCCTTAATCTGAAAACCATTGCCTGAGTATTAGGAATGATAATAATATCTCTCATGCTGAAAAGTGTGAACAACTTAAAAGAGGTGTTCATATCTAAACCTTTAAGACATGGCAAGTCACTCCCTTGAAGCCCTCCACTTACACTGACTTCTTGAGTTGTGAGGAATGCCTATCACTTCAACTTTACAGTTGCATTTTTAAAATACCATTTACTTAAAATACCTGTTAAAACATTCCTTCATTACTTGAAAAAGCTGATAAGATTCTCGACCTGACACTACTTGCTTCCAGAAGTAGCTTCTTCCAGAACACCTAGGGAGAAGAGCAAGGGCGACCTGGCATCTCTTTTTCAGAAGCCAGGGGACTGGGCCAGGTGACAGCCAGCTGTTTCTATTCTGAATCTGCTGTCACCTCCTTAGAACTTCCTGCTCTGCCCACAAAAAGGAAAAGCACCACTCAGCGAGCCAGCTACAGGGGACTCAGCCAACACTTTTTTCTTCTGTTTGTTGAATGCTACATACTGTGGGGTATCATGAATGTGTCCTGTCTTTCTCAGAACCTGCCCCAGTAGAGGACTGTGATACAAACCTTGAAGCCCATGTGTAGGGATCAAGATATTCTTAAAGACTGTGTTCATATTTACTGACACCTACTTAGCATGTTCCTGTTGCTCCGAGGCCCTGGCATCCATGTCCATGCCAAAGTCTTTGCTGCTGAATGTTGAAGAAACCTTTCTTAGCTCTAAGCCTTCAATCTCATGATTGAAGAGACGGTTCTGAGTTTTAGCTTTCCCTGTAGAGAAACGCTGGGATAGTAAAGCATTTTTCAAACAACCCTCTTGAACGCCCAATATAAGCTGGGACCTATAATCTGCTGACAACATCCCTTAAACCTCTATCAATCTGTAAGATAGCTATTACTACTTTATTTCAGACTAATGAACCTGAAAATCAGAGAAGTTGAGCAACTCAAGATCTTATAGTTAATAAACTACCTCAATTTTCATCTAGGTTTTGCTAACTCAACTTCTTTTAAAAAATTATTTATTTTTATTTTATGTGTATGAGTGTTTTGCCTGCATGTATGTAAGTGAACTGTGTGCGTGCAATACCATCCGAGGCCAGAACAGGGCATCAGATCTCCTGGAACTAGTGTAATGAATGTTTTTAGCCACCAGGTCGATGCTGGGAAATGAAATTGGGTCCTCTGCAAGAGTAGTCAGCGTTCTTAACTGCTGAGCCATCTCCCCAGGCCCTCCACTTCACTTCTTAAAGGGAGGTGTGATTCTTCTGCGTCAGTTCATTCTTTCTTCCAATGAATATTTAATGAGCTTCTATTAAATGTATGTTCTCTGGAAACACAACTGTAAATAAAACAGGTTATGGTTTTCATAAAGGTCATGTACAGGTTGCTAGAGAGAAAATTCAAAAATATATAATGTATTATGTGGTTTGTTTTCTGTTACTATAACAACATGTTTGCCCTAATTCACTTTTAGAGAAAAAAAGCTTCATTTTGTGTCATGGTTTCAGAAGTTGTAGCCCATGATCAAGTAGACTTGTGACTTTTAGGTCTCTGGTCAGTGTGTCAGATGCCAATGACAGGGAGCAAGTAACAGAGCAAATTGCTCACCTCATGGACAGGAAGCAAAAGTGGAAGCCATAATACACTTCAAGAGCATATTTCCAGTGATCTAAAAACCTCCCATGAGGCTCCACCCCCAAATAGCCACCTCAGCACCAAGCTTTAAACATGTGGGCCTTGAGGAATATTAAACATCCATATTATAGCGAGTGCTATGGGAAAAATTTAACCATGACACTAGGAAGCAAGAGTGAGGGGTGGGGCATTATGATTTACAAGGGAATGATGCATTTCTGATGACAGGACATAAAAATGCTTCCTGTCATGTCAAGAACAATTTGCAAACTCCTGGAAGTTGTCACAGACAGCTGTCATGACAATACAATGCTCCCCCAGCCAGCATAAGAGGATTCCTTGCCAAATAGGTGTTTCAGCTTGTGGGAAAACTCTATCAAAATAGGAATGTTACAACACAGATGGACTGAATGAGATGTGGCAGTGATTTGACCCCACAAGCTGTAATTATTCCTACCTTGATTAGAAATCAGCCCCTACCTCCTACCCCTTTCTTTCTTCACAACGAGTCTTTGAAAACTGATTCCCACCAATCTGGAAACCATTTGGTGATTCCCAGGAGGAAAGAGCTATGTACCAGTGTGATTATTGGTGGTGTTTTCATTAAGTATGACATGGCTGGAAATTACTGGGAAAAACCACTACAAATGAACAAATGAGTTTCAAAAGATGTGACAAATTAGCATGTCTAAAGATTGGCCACAAAATCAGGAGGTTGATGAGCTATCAATATGTCTAAGCTGTATAAACAGGCACTGTTGTAGGCTAGTGCGATCCAGTGATCTAGAGAGAAGGTGGTCCCATCCTTTAGAAAATAAGTGATTTAATAATAGAACAATGGCCTTTGGGAGGATTGTGTTTCCCAGAAGTAACAAGGTTTGTTAATACTTAAATTGATAGAGGATGGGGAGTTCTTGCTTCTAAACAGTTCTAACAGAAAGAAAGGAAAGCTAAGAAGAGCTCTCCATATATGACAATACTGTAATCATAAGCGCAACACACAGTAAAACAGCTTTGAGGTTATCTAAAATCTGTTCTGTGCGTCTTAACTCCTTGGTGGTATGATTGGGACAGAAATGCCAATTAGATCCAGAGTGGTAATGGAAACGATCAAATTTACTATTGTTTTATGCAAGTCCTAATGTGACACCATCGAACAGAGAAGCCAGTGTTCAGTACTATGTGGACATTGAACATTTGAAATATGACTGCTCCTAATTCAAAAGTGCTCCAAGGAAGGATGAATCAGATTTCACAGAGAATTAGTACAAAATAATTTAAAATATGTTAACAGTTTTCATCATTTTGAAATGGCAACATGTAGACACTATCTGATGAAATAAAGTAG